TTATAAATATTAGTATTTGTATATGTAATTATACTATGCACAAGGTATCATAAATACCATCAATATCTCTTCATTATAAGTATAAAATATAAATATCTAAATCAATTTTATATAGAAGTTATATAATAAGCAGAACACACATCCAAATGAATGACATCATATCAATAAAAAAGAAAAATGAAAAAAAAAATTATTAATATTAACCATAAAAATCAGACTTCAATTAATCATCATTGTGTGCTACAAAATAAATTGCTATAGAATCTACCATCTACAAATATAAGATATGTACTATATGAGTGCATATATGTATGTATATATCCATGCATGTTTTCTTATCTATGATACAGACTGATTATATGTACATACATCTAAATGTGCGTGTATGTTGTGTATATATGTATTTACTGTACCTAAACAATTATTTTCATAAAGGAAAAAGAATATATGTGCAAAATTTAGTTACTTTTCTTTTTCAAATAATTTATTTAGCCACTACACATTTTTAAAAATCTTATAACTTTTGCGAAAAATGAATTGATAAAATATCTACCATAAATTGAAAGGCATCTATTTGTTACAGACGAACTTTCTTAAATTTCTGCAAAACATATTTAAATACAAAAACAGGTGCAATAGGTGTTTTTTTAATATTCATGCATATGTGGTATCCTAAGATAATTTAAATAATTTTTATTATTTTTAAACCCATAGATAATATTTTATTTTCACTTGTAAAAGTTACTTTTATTTTTAACTAACACTTACTTTTATATAAACATATATATGGTTGACCAAATCCACATCAAGCAAACAATTTGAAGTAAGCAATATTTCAGTATGGAATATATATATATATATATAAGGAAATTTGAAATTTTGAAGGTACAAAATCACCTGGTAAAAGACAATAGCCAAGCTTAATCCCAATTCAAAGGACTAAGGGCTACAATCAAGAGAAAATCAATTTGAGAATGAATGAAATACAAGTTTATCAAGCTACACTTGATGTGGAAGAATATCTGAAGTATCCAACTTCAAGTAACATCAGACAGCCAGCTCTTCTAGAAGGACTTTGGAAGCAAAATGTGGTCAAAAGGACATATCAAGATCAAAGTACTCTTGCTACCAAAGGTAAGTTACTTGTTTCAAGTGTGGACAAGTAGCCATATGGACCATCCATTTTTCAAAGAAAAACAACTTGAATTTTATCTGAGACAAGAAGAGGAGGAGATGCAAAGAAAAGAAGATGATTATGCAAATGATGAATGTGATGATCTAACTGATGATTGAGCAAATAAATACCACCCTTTTTACATTGTCAAAGGCATCCAAGATGCCTCTGGCGAGCAAGACAATGATTGGCCTCATACTACCGTATTCCAAACAACTGTTATTTGTGTAACTAAACCCAAAAAGCTTGTTACTAATAGGAAATTTCAACTTTCCAACACAACCATATCAACCATATAGAATAGCATGGATAGATAACATAACTATCCTAATGAGCCAACAATGTCTTGCTCCTTTCGAAGCTAGTGCTTATTTGGATTTTATCCTATGCAAAACTGTCCTGCAAGAGCTACTTGTATTCTCCTAGAATGTCCTTGGTTTTTTTATCAAGATGTGCAACATTATGGAAGAGAAAGTACTTACTCTTTTTTCTTATATCAAGATAGATTGTTTTGAAGCCTATGAATGCATTTATAGAAAGGAGTAAGCAAAGAAAGGGAAGAACTATGAAGAGAAAGGGACCCATAAGTCTGAAGATAAAGTTATAGACAAGAAAAAGCAAATCCAAATTATGACAAAACAGAAATTGGACATGAAAAGCAGAAACACATGGAAAGAAGAATTTATTGTTCTGAAAATGAAGATTAGCTCCAGCCTATAGACCACCAGATACCAAAGAACAACCTCATTTATGAGGACGGCCATACATTCTTGAAACACACCTCGATCACCGCCAGGAGAGAGACCGCCCCCAACCCCCACCCCCGGCTCCATAACTATAAAAAAGAGTCTGTCCCCAACTAGGCTCTAGGAAAGAAGATGATTTTATCCCTGTTGTTCCCATAGGGATACAGGATTCAACAAAAACAAACTGGTTTTTAAAGATTTTAACCATGATTCGAAAAATTATGTATTCACATGTTCTTTTAATCACTTTGTTTTCACTGAAAATTGATAGAATGAAACGACCATGTAGCTGCTTCTTGGAGTGTACAGCACTAACAATTCAATAGCACCTCAGGAAGAAATATACGTGTCGTTTTACCTACTCTTGATCACATATGCTCAAACATTCAAAACCAAATCAAGCATGGAATAAAGATTATACGAGTAAAAATATTGTAAAAGGGTTACTATTTAGTGTAATGAAGGGTTAGTTAGTGTTGGGGGTTAATTGCAAGTAATTAGGGGTCTGTTACAAAATTAGTTGCACGAAGCTTCAATAAATAGGATATCTGCTGCCAGTAAAGAGCAAAGAAAAAATTAATCAAATGAGTCCCTTACTCTAGCGTTCTCCCTTGTCTCCCTTCATTCTTCCCGAAACCCTAATCCCCAATTTCTATTCTAAAAACTTCCTCTAGATCTTCTTCTATTCTCTCTTTCCCTTCTATGGTATTTTTGTAAAACAGCTCATATAAAATTCTGACTCCAGAACAATAAAGGGTGAATGGATTGGTGAAAAAATAAAATATAACCATTGATGAAACAATAGAAAGAAAATGATGAATATGAACCCAATATTCAATTCAGAAGAAAGTCTCAATTTAGAGCTTAAAATTTTTTTATATAATTCAATAGAAACATAGCACAAAATGCGCATCACTAGATAATTTAAGCACCAAATATTCACCAACAAGTACCTGTATCAGATCAAAAAATCCAAATAAGTCTAACAGCGTGTTTGTCGGCGTAGAGCTGACGAGCATTTCATGGCCTCATCGTCGACGACTGTTGAGCTGCAAAAGTTGACTGACGATGAAGAGTACAAGCGGTCTTGGATTGGCGTCAGGTGGAGAGTTGAGCTTCCGCCACTAGCTCGTTTTATTCATTAAGACAGACATGAAAGAAGCTTTCCGGGACGATCCATTCAGCATTGGGCCTGAGTTGTCGGGTACGATCGGCAGGCTCATGCTCATCGGAGGGAGGTCTTACGTCAATTCGGGCCTGGTTAATTTTTAAATTGTCAATATTTTTAAAAATATATCAAAGTATTTTTAATACTATCCTAATAACTTGTTATGTTTTAAAAATAATCTTAATATATTTTTAATACATTTGATTAAAATTTACTTTACCTAAATTAGATGAATCTAAACTATATTTGGGATTAGAGTCAGTCATCCTTGACAAATATTTTGTTAGGTCGTTGATTATTTGATATAATTTGATATTATATGTAACAGTCCAAACTTTTATCCAAAATTTTGATTGTACGTACATTATATTATAATAAAATAATTAATAAAAATATTTCACACACAAATCTTAAAATAATAAAAGTACATTCTTTACATAATTAATTTAAAAAATATGTCTAAATTCTAAAATAAATATTTATTACAAATAAATAATTAATATTAAATATTGTTATAATTAAAATAAAAATTAAACAATGTCATAGTAAGTATTTCACTATTCAATAGCAAGATTCTAAATATCTTGATCTTGCAAAAAAAAATATAGTAAATAAGATGAGTTTAATATGTTTATTAAGTGTATAAGTACAAACAAATAAAAAAGTAATTAATACAAGTTGGTAAAAAATATAAAACTATGGACGGATATGATTGAAAATACTTTTTTTTTAATTGAGAAAATACATGGTATTTATACACTAATTCATTTAACATACATTATAAATCAGTTTATCCAGTAAACATTCGAATTTATTATTTCAGTGTCGTAACTCATTGCATAAACAGTTCAATAAATATTAGAATTCAATATTCAGTATTATAATTTGAACAGTAAGCAGTTCAATAAATATTAATTTAGTATTTCAGTATGAATAAACTTTACACGTGACTTCTTATTCATTTATATCGGTTTATATCGTATTAAAAATACTTTTATCGCGCAATATTATTTTTGTTAGTATCAACGAGAGCAATAAAAATTTTTACTACCACGTGAATACGTCACAGTTCAGTTCACAATAGATAATACACAGTTCGCGGTTCACAGTATTTATTGTTTCGACACGTCTGATTAAAGTTGCATCCACAAGTAAGGTTCACCACAGTTACATGTCAGAAAGACACATCCACCATTCGATGATACAAGTTAAATAGGTTTTTCAAATCTTATAATATTTTTTCTTTATTTCCAGTCACTAATAAATTTTCTAAATTTATTATTTAATTATTTTTATGTCAAAAGTATACGTACTGTACATATTCATCAAACTAACAGTCTATTATGCATTTTTAATATTTTAACAGTCTATACAATGACAACCAGTACTTATAGTAATTTAGTTACCGGACAGAGTATAAAAATTCATCAATAATTTCAATAATGAACATAAATAAAAATATAAAAATTAATAATAAAATTTCGTCGGAATCCTACACTTATTTATAATTTAAAAATAAATTATCAATTAGTTAAACATCAGATATGATGTTTGTAAGCAGTTATACGCTTACCTGATTTACGTTATTGAATATAGTTCCCATAAATTTTCATCGATGCAAAATCTAACTTCACCACGAATAAACATCAGAATCTCTGCATGTGCCTCGACACGCCACCGTCGTAACGTCACCGGAGTATTACTGGAACATCGCCGGACAACTGTCAGAACATTGCCAGACCACCCCACGCCGCTACGAATCGCTCGAAACATGTCGCGAAATGCACCACACACTCAGATCTGATGCAGATCTGAGTGAAATCATGCAAAAAACGATGCGGATGTACGAAATTGTGCTTTGACAACTGCGGTCCGATCTTCTTCTCCAATGTTACTCTGTCGCGCGTAACTTCTCTTCCTCTCTCCTTATTCTTTCTTCGTTGCATACCAGGAACGGATCTGAGCGTGTTGCCGCCGCTGTTATATTTTCTTTCTTTTTTTTTTTTCTTGTCCTTCCTCTTTTCTTTTTCTCTCTCTTTTTTATAGGCGGCGACGAGTATAATCCTGTACGCCGCTTCTTCTCGAGGAAGCCCCGTATGGGCTTATTCTCCTTCCACTTGAACCATTCACACCTCTAGTTTCCCTTTTTCTTTTTATTATTATATTATTATTATTATTTTAATTTTAACATTTAATCTATCTTGAAATGAAAGTTATATTATAAGTAAATTAATGTCTAATACATAAATAGTTTTACCTGGATCAAACGGATTTGAATGTGTCTCGTCTCTTTCCTAATTCATAATTAAAACTACATATGTGACTAAATGATGTTTGATCCAGCTAAAATCATAGTATTTAATTCAATTTATTTATTTTTTCAATATAAACGACAAAAATGAAACTCCAACGTAAATATTCAGCTTTCACAAGATAGCATGTGTAAACACATATCCAAACTTCATCATTGTATATTCTAATTATTAAACTCGTGGCAATTACTTATTCCCAAATAGTTATATGATATATTATTATCCCACAAATTTGTACCATCAGAGTGCTTTTTTTATTCATAAATAATAATAATTTTTTACATATTTCAATAATAAATTACTATAGTGTTTGATATTGCAAGCTACTATATTAATATATGTTTTAATTATGTAAGGTAGAATACTAATTTAAACATAGCTAGTGTTTGATATTATGTAATTACATGCTGCTGTGAAAATGTAATATATAAAAAAAACATTAACATAGTAAGTTAGAGTAAGACACAACAAATAATAATTTTGTTGAAACTATTATAAAGCAATTTACTCTTATTCATTTGACCAACTGATTTAAAAGTTGAAAAATGTGTGGGGGTTGGTTAATATTATAAGAGTTATATTTCTTAAACCCATCAACTTATACAATATGATAATTGTCTTACTACTAATTTAGTTTATTTTTGTTTTATTATTAAATTCTTATTCGATTAAAAATTTGTCTAACAAGATAAATGTGGAAATTCAACAATTTTTATTATTAATAATCAAATTATAAACATATTTAATTCAAGTATTATGAATTCTTTGCTATCAACTCATAATACAATAATAAAATTTATATTTTTATCGATATTTTAATTTACAACCCTTAAATATAATAGTAAGATATATATATATATATATATATATATATATATATATATATATAATTTGTTGTCTACGTTGTTGGTTGTTTAGCTAACCTTTTTTTCAAATTTTCTATATAGCATCAAATTATTATTATTTCAACTTTAAATGTCATTTCAGTTTACAATTGTAACGGCTCCGAAAATTAAAAAGAAATGTATAAATTTATTATAAGTGCAGAAGCGAAATAAAATATATTATGATTAACATCCCTTACACAATAACCAAAACGAATTAAACGTATGAAATAATAAACTAACGAAATGAAATAGTAAGAATGAATACTATAAGAAAAACTAATAATTTTTTTTTTGGCTTCTACTCGCCGTCTTCCTGCAGAACGAGCTCGGGAACTAAGTCTTCATGATCTGAAATGGTTAAGTAAGGAATGAGCTACACTAACCCAGTAAAGACATCACACTATCTCACTGTCACAGAAGTAAAGGTTAGT